AAGTCCCCTATTAATATAAAATTTATGAATTAGCTTGGAAGCACCTACTAGTTACTTTAACCTGCAACTTGATGCCTTTGGATGACTCCATTACAAGTCACACCACTCAATTATTTTGATTCTGAGAGTAGGGTTCTTATTTCTATTCCAAGTATCCCATTCCTGATTGCTTTCTAAAGCTCTCAGTCACTGGTGTCAACTTGGATCCAACTCATAGAGACCCCTCCTTGGATTTCTGAGGGGGTATCACTACAGAAGTAGATGGCCCAATATTCTTTCTGAGAAATGGCTAGTGGGTTTGAACCACCAGCCTTCTGGTTAGCAGTCAAATGTCATAGGTACTATGCTACCAGAGCTCCCTTCTAAAGCTCTAGTTCCTAAAAAATAGTCATTCGTTGCTACCATGAAGAATGTTATTTCTAGCCACCTTCCCTTTTCTCACATAATTGCCCTAAATCTTTCATATCTCAATATATTGAAAGTGTAAGAATAAAACTAGATGTGTCAAACTGAACTTTTTAATGTCAAATATATCACCTTTTCTTCAGAAATTGAATAAATCACTGACACCAATGGAATTCTTTGATTCCATCTACTCATTTCTCAGTTTATACTCATAGAATGTAACCAAGGCTAAATCCTAAAGCTAATAAAATGATTCAACAAGAATAACTGTAGGCTTGCCTACAGTTTATGCAGATTTCATAAAACAGAATTTATTTTTCTCCACTATCTACCAACAACCATCCATAATTATAACATGGCAAAATATTTCTTCAAGAAAAGTAGAGATCATTAATCCAAAGTCATTTTTAGGAAATCAGAGTTCATTTTTAATTATGTTCCAAGGTGAGATGTCACAAAATGAGGTGTAAAATACTAAAATGAGGTAAACAGAGTCACTGCCTTTAAGGACAATGCATAAGAAGCAAGAAGTTCCCATTACTTCATAAACTTATTATTGATCATTCGCACGACTACTTTGTGTATGATACCCTAGGAGCTCTGGGAGAGACTGCCAGAGCAAATAAAAATTCTTTGGATTTATTTCCTCACTAGTTCTCCAACTTTGATGGACATAAAAATCAGCTGGGGGTTTGGAGGAGTATATAAAACTGGACTCCCACCCCTGTAGATATAATTGGACTGTACTAATTCTTCACCACTGGAAGGGCCCAAGTATTAGTAATTTTAAAAATTACTAATTTTCAGGTGTTTCTTATTCATACCTGAGTTTGAGAACCACTGCCTTTCATGATATCACCTTGAAAAGGTTCATCTATAAAAGCCTTGTTATAAACCACAGAACAGCAGCCTTAGAATCACCTGGGAGCTTGTTAGAAATGCAGAATCTCGGGCCCAACACCAGCTCTACTGAATAAGAACATGTATTTTAAAAGATGCCCAAGTTCATTGTATGTACATTAACACTTGAGAAACACTGTTTTAGAGAACTGTAAAATGGGACCACATATATTAACCAAAGCACACAGAATCATATTAGAACTATTTAAAATGCATATGATATACACTGGCTTAAAACATATAAACCACAATTAATGGGCAGATTTTAGCCACCATTATTGTTGTAAATTAGAATCAAGGTTTTCTGGGTAGTAATCAATTCAAGGCTAATGATAAATTACAGGATTTAGCAAAGAATAACTCCTTGAAGACAAATGTCATTTGAAAAGTAACTGATATTCCTACAGCATACTATCTCTCTCTCTCACTCACACTGCCATTGGATCTGACTCATAGTTACCCCTCCTTGGGTTTCCTAGGCAGTATCACTACGGAAGTAGATTGCCCAATCTTCCTTTCCAGGAATGCCTGGTGGGTTTGAACTTCCAGCCTTTTGATTAGCAGCCAAATGCCTTAGACACTACACCACCAGAGCTCCTGCATACTATCTAAAGATCACAATAATCTAAGTCCTAGTTTTGGACATGATCAGATGTAAGTCAGCAGTAAAACACTCAGGAACCAGGTAGGAGGTAATTATCCTTTAGGAAATCTTAAACAAAGGAACTGGAGAAGTGAAGGGAGAAATTGGCAGGATTAGAAAGGAGGAAAAGGGAAGTAATATTTATTGATCACCTATTGACACATAGTGCTTTACATATGCTCTCTTTCTTAATCCACATGACAGAACCCTGGGCAGAAGCCAAATATTACTGGAGAAGGAAAAAGGAGTGCTGTTACATTGAGTATATGTTCAGAACTTGTTTCTGAAAGTGTGGGCTTTCTTTCCCACCCAGCAGTATAGAAAACAAATTGTCACAACTGGGCTATCACATAGACCTCAATAGAGTTTTAAGGCAAACTCGCTACTACTAGTGAAACTCATCACAGAGAAGTATTTTGTTTGCCATGATCTGTTTGCTGTTGTTGAATTTGAGTGCTTTTAGATAGACAATGAAATATTCAATTTCAAAAGCTCACCATTTTCTTAGGTGCTCTGGTGGCATAGTGCCTAAGGCATTTGACTGCTAACCAGAAGGCTGGTGGTTCAAACACACCAGCCACTCCTCGGAAGGAAAATTGGGCAATCTACTGCCGTACAGCCTCGGAAACCCAAGGAGGGGTCACTATGAGTTGGAGTTGACTCAATGGCAGTGAGTTTGGTTAGGTTTTCCATTTTCCTATTCATGTATTTTGTCTCTGGTCCCTTGGGGAAATTGAGCTCACAACTCTTGCAACTGTCAAAGGTTGTGAAAATTAGAAATCCTAGGCTTTAATTTTTTTCAATGATTTTCTTTACAGTACAGAATTGTGCTTTATGAGTTATTTTGTGGACATTAGTCCTGGGAAAATTTTAAATACTTGATTTAATTTGTTATTCTGTGAAAAATAAAAATCTGAAGACTTGAAAATATTTACAATCCAGTATTCTTAGGAACACAGTGAAAAAAGGCTTTGTTGGATAAAGGACCAGTTGGGGCAAAAGCTCCATTTAAGTTCAATTAATATATGTTCCTTTTAAAAAATAAATTATATATATAT